TCCCATTTGTAAAGGAGGAGAGTTTTGACAGGGGAAACTATTTGATTTGCAAAGGTTCAAGTTGCTAGCATTAGCTGGAAGGGGAAATTCATAAGGTTGAAGGAAGTAAGATGCCAATATGACAGATCCAATAAATCTAGTCTTTGAGGAACATGCCTGCCTCAGAATTCTGTTTGCTATGGGTATGTTACTTGGAACCCTGACATTGGCACTAAAAAAAGTTACTTATCACCATTTTGCACTCTTAATTATCATTACAGCATCCCCATGGTCACATGATCAAAATTTGGATGCTTGGCAACTGGCATTTATTTATGATGGCTGCAGTGTCCCAGGAGCATGTGATCACCTTTTGCGACCATCTCACACAAGCAAAATCCATGAGCAAACCAGATTCATTTAATAACCATGTTACTAACTTAACAACTGCAGGGATTCACTTAACAACTCTACCAAGCAAGGTCATATAATTGGGGGGGGGGGGGAATATAACGTCAACAAGATATAATCCAGCTATTTCCTTAGGCATCTTACTTCCTTCAACCTTATGAATTTCCCCTTCCAGCTAATGCTAGCAACTTGAACCTTTGCAAATCAAATAGTTTCCCCTGTCAAAACTCTCCTCCTTTACAAATGGAAGAATACCATATATTCCCATGTTATGCCCCCATCCCTCTTTCTCTTAAAACCTAAAATATTGAAATAGATTGTAAAGAATTGTACAAATTGCAAAAAGCAAATTTACATTTGTCTATTTCATGGAGTTGGTTAGGTAGGTATTCCTATTAAATGTTTTTAGACCTGTAACTCTAAACACCACTTTTTAATTTTACATTCTTCCCTGAACATCGGAAGATTAACAATTAAGTAAACAAAATATTGCCAGTTTTTACTACTGCTTTCCCAGAATTTATGCATATGTGATTACATTCTTTATATACTTACTTCTTCTATACCATCAATCCACTTGGGAGACAACCTCTTAGATACACAGATAGCTGCTTCAGGATCTAAACTGATACCCGATACCAGTGCCATGCGATCATCTGCAAGCTGGAGAAAAATAGAAGAAAGGTGTTTTGTCTGTTGTGAATCAAAATGACACAGCTTCCAGATTCAGAAGAAAATAACTTGAACATTTAGGACTCAAAGCTCATGGTCTTCTGATTCTTTGCAACTCTTTGAGATTTCTTGGACACTAAACAAGGTTCTCTGGTGAGAAATCTGGTCATTTATTTATTTATATCTCACCTTTTTTTATTTTGACACATAACTCAAGGCAAACAAACATATCCAATGCAGCTTCCTCCACCTATTTTCTCCCCCAACAACTCTGTGTGGTGGGTGTGGCTGAGAGAGAGAGAGAGAGAGAGGCAAACAAACATATCCAATGCAGCTTCCTCCACCTATTTTCTCCCCCAACAACTCTGTGTGGTGGGTGTGGCTGAGAGAGAGAGAGAGTGACTGGCCCAAGGTCACCCAACTGGCTTAGGGGGCTAAGGAAGGACTAGAATTCACAGCCTCCCAGTTTCTAGTCTGGTGCTTTTACCACTAGACCAGTGATGGAGAACCTTTTTGGCACCGAGTGCCCAAAGTACATGTGCGCAAGTGCATACCCAAAATGCAACATACACACACATATACAGCCCTCATCCCTCCTGTCCATGAGCGGGAGAGACCCGAAGACCAGCTGGCCGGTGGGGGGTGCGCACACATGCGCAGCGAAGCTGAGCTGGGGCAACAGTGCACGTGCTCACAGAAAGGGCTCTGCATGCCACCTGTTGCCCGTGTGCCATAGATTCGCCAGCACTGCACTAGACCAAACTGACACTGTAACTGTAATGAGAGACAAGTGGTGACCATTGTTACATTACTCCATTTTAATTTAAATTTGCAAAGGAGAGCTGAATGTATTTCTTGAGATAATCATGTAAGACCATTATAAGAACCCACAAACTTGGCCAACATACTTGCAAACAAACACACATCTAGGGTTGTCTCTTCAGAACTCTGCAAAATACAGGGGTTTTATGGCAGAAAATCACATACAAGCTGATGTCCAAAGTTCTCTCAGGTTTAAGCCATTGGCTTAAGGCAAAGGCTGTGGCTCTGTACATAACACCTAAAATATTTCAATTTATGACTCATTCATACCGTTCGACAAACAAATTCCCAGGACAAGCTTCATTTCAAACACACTGTATGTAAATGCAGTGTTTTATTTAAAACAGAAGCCAAGTTTGAAAAAAGTAAATCTAGTTAGCCTAGAAAAGCAGATGCACAATGAAAAAGAAGGGCTTGAAGAATTTAGGTCAAATGGAAAGAAGGCTCTCACTGCAATTTGATAAAGCAAAATTTAGTTCTGGACCCCTTCAAGAAGTTATAAAGAAAAGAAATTAGGTAGTATGAAATTATTTCAGCTTTTGTTATTTTCTATATTACTTTCCAAATATACATGTGCTTTTTATGCAGTTTAAGTAAGGTTAATACATGATAAATGATTTTGGGCCAAGCTGGTAACTATTAAAAGAACAACTTTATTTTACTATTTTCTTTTCAAAGACCAAAGAACATTTTATGTCCCAGGTAAGCTGTCTATCCATTTTCAACACATCAAAAAGATCTTTGAAGGTAGGTATAAATACCTCCATCCTGGCTTAAATCAAGATTGAGTTTGGAGCAAATTCCATATTTGATATAACATTCTTAGTCTTTGGAATGATGGGGTTTTAAAACACGCACTTCTAGTGGATTGGGTTTACACATTGGACTAAGCCAAAATGTGGTTTGGCAAAGCCCGTTGAAAGAATCCAGCCAGTATAATTAGCAAACCCTTATGTTTCAGCACGTTGGGCAAAACCATCCTAATATAATTTATTTAACAAGTCATGGTTTAATAAATAACAACTTAGTTGGATGTGCAGAGTAAGTCACAGAGAGTGAATGAAACCGAAACCCAAAGAGCACAGTGGAAAAAAAACAGGACAGAGAGAGTTGGTTTGGGGGATCCATTCCAAATTAATCTATCGATCTGAGAATTTAGCTAGCCCTGGATCCCGGTCTACATTGGCACTGTTCTTCCACTTAACATCCAGGCAAGTAGCTGCTGGCTGCCTTTCACAATAGGACCCATGAAAGGGTATTGTTTCTTCAGGAAGCTATATAAAAATCTACGGTTGGCTTTATAATTAAAGGAAGTGCTAGGCTTGATATATTAAAATTATTTATAGTTTACAACCTCTTTTGTTCAGATCTTGTTAGCTCCTGGTTTGAGAAAATGTTACACTTAAAGGAATTCTTAAAGCAACCCACCATATTAGACAGGGTGGCTCATCTGCAGTGCCAGCTCCGTTTTTAAAACTGACCCTCGTGTCTTCCTATATTTAAGCTTAAAAACCTACCTGCACAATCAAACTCTACATTTCTTTCATTTCCAAGTAAACATGCCAGTTAAGACATTTTGGTATTCTTAGGTTTTTAGTCCTTTCTAGAAAAAGGAGATGGCAATTATGCTGAAGCTAAAGCTAATAAAATGTGTTTCTATACATCCAGAGCTTTAAAAGCAAATGTAAAAAGGGAAATTTTGTGGGGCCCACATTACTAGCCGCCAGGGCTGCATGCGATCTGTGGGCCATAGATTGGATACACCTGGTTTAAACAGTAATATTTTAAATCCTGGTCAATATCCATGCATATTACAGTAAGCGAGGGAATGAAATAAACCAGAGACAAAATCCAGATGACTGTTTGCACGTCAGTCTTCTGGTTTCTCTTTGGAGGAATAACCCTAAGTTAAATGCAGTAGTTGCTTTGCCAGAACAAGGCAACTTTGAATGATATTTTATAGATTAGACAAACAGCACAATACCTCATCCAGCTCCTGAGATGGTTTGGTGATCACATCAGCCCATCCATATAGAGACAGCAAAAAATTTTAAGAGAGGGAAACAAAAAGAACAGGACAGAGCACAGGGTACAGTCAGTTGAAGGAATGCAAGTATTTTATTGATCAACATTGACAGATTATCACAGAAAACAAAACAGTCTTTTAAAGCAGTATCAGTTTTCAAGTGGATTTCACATTCGGCCTGCTGCATATTGTATTTTTCCTTTCAATATATTTCTAACCATGTTCTTGATCTGTAAAGAAATGCACATTTTAGGAGCTTTACATTGCAAACCTTTTAAAACGTTCGTTAAGGAAATAAAAAGAAAACCAAGGCACAAACAGTATAAATTGCTTAATATGATAGTGGATCCAGAACTTTCTACTTAACCTAGCCATTAAAAGAAATCCTAGTTTAGAGGATCTGATTCCAACTTAATTCAGTTACACGACACCTGAAAATAACACAACTATATATTTACCAAATTGATATGCTGCCCATCATGTCAAAGCGATTCTAGGGTGGTTTAAAGATAAACGTAAAGGTTCTCCTTGCACATATGTGCTAGTCGTTCCCAACTCTAGGGGGCAGTGTTAATCTCTGTTTCAAAACCAAAGAGCCAGCGTTGTCGAAAGATGTCTCCTTGGTTATGTGGTCAGCATGACTAGACAATGAAAGGGCACGGAACACTGATACCTTCCCACCAAAGGTGGTTCCTATTTTTCTACTTGCATTTTACAGGCTTTTGAACTGCTGAGTTGGCAGAAGCTGGGACAAGTAACAAGAGCTCACTCTTATGTGGCGCTAGGAATTTGAACCGCCGCAACCTTTCTGATCGACAGGCTCAGCGTCTTAGCCACTGAGTCCCTTTACGGTGTCCCTTACAAATATTCAATTAAAATGCATCATAAACATTAAAACAATAAATAGGGGGTCTTAAATTTAAGATTTAAACTATATAACCATGAAATATCTAAAAAGAATCAATTGGCTTATGTACGTATGACATTTTAATAAAACAGGAAAAAAGTCAAAGATTACATGCAGATCATTCATTACAGAAAGTCTGTATGGGCAACATTCATTAACCAATCTCTAAATTGGATTAGTTTCAGAATCAAGTGTGGCCAAGTTGAAGCCAAAAGAATTCTCAAGTCAACGCTGTTCCTGTTTTTAAGAAGAAGGCGTCACTACACAGAGAATTGCACCAATGGATTTCTCAATTAGCAGGACTGGATGAATTCTTGAGGGCGCTTGCTGTCTAGCCATAACTTCCATCCCTAATTTAGTCTTTATGTTTTTTGCCTTTTAAGCAAATGGAGCTCCAGTTATCCTTTCTAGCAGGTCAAAAAAAGGGAATGAGAAATAATGCACAACATGTAGAGGTGATATAACTGGGGGGAGGGGGGACTAGGACAGTTTAAAAAGTAAAAAGAAAGCACATGACAGATATGATTTCTTCATGCAGATGGAAATGGATGTCATACTAAGGACTTCTTACACAAGAGCCAAGGTGGNCAGACTTCATAAGGTGATTGTAACAAAATTAATTGGCTGACGGGGCAAAATCCCATCCACACCCATTGCGTACAGCAATGGTTCCCAAACTTGGCAACTTTAAGACTTGTGGATTTCAACTCCCAGAATTCTCCAGCCAGCTCTGGCTGGAGAATTCTGGGAGTTGAAGTCCACAAGTCTTAAAGTTGCCAAGTTTGGGAACCACTGGCTTACAGCATGAACAAGGGACAGTGGTTATTTCCAGCATAGTGCTGCATCTAAAAAACATTTTGCCATTAACAGCAAAACAGCTCTCACTATAGTACACAACCAGACTCCTTTGGTTTTCCCGAAATGATCCTGATAGCAAATCAGAGCCCTAGAATTTCCTGTCCACAATTCAAAATTCTTATAATCATTCTTTTTTTAAAAAAAAATCTCAATTTTTCTTCCTTTGCATGCTAGAACTCCACAACAAATAAATAAAGTGTGATCTTCCTCCCCTGAGTTGTACTCTATCTTTCATATCTATGCCAGTGGATAGCACATTTCTGGGTACATGTAAGAAACGTCACCTTAGATTATTCCTGTGTTTTCTCTATTTGTCTTTGGAGTTTTTGATCCAGTAATATTTTTTCATGATAATGCCCAGCTCCTTTCCCAATGTTCTTGCATCTGAATGTTCCTCATCGTTAGGAGAATGGAGCAAGTTGATTGATAAAGAAGTGCTTGTGCTAATAAGAATATTCCAGTAATAATATTTTAAAAATTTGGTACTTCCCATAGTGAGCAGCAGGAGGCGTGCAAGAATGGCGTTTGAGGGCTAGACTCTTCCTTAAGCAATATATTCTGTACTCCATTGTGTCATTTGCCTGGCGCAGCACAAATTTTCCTGCCTCTGCCTTGCATTTAAATCTTATTTTCTGTAAGAATTCATTTGTACCGATCATTTTAACACTAAAGAGTGGACAAGTTGTAAGAGATATGAATTGTTTTTAAAAGAAAAAGGAAGTCTATGCAGTTCAATAATTGACAATCATTTATGTCTGGGATTATCCAGACATTCTGCAACTTCCAAATATATCACAGCTACAAGACCCCCCAAAACCCAGCCCCTGAACTGAGATGCTGCAGAGTTTTAGGATTTGGATGACTTGGCTGATCTAAGGTGAGAAGATCAAGTATGTTGAGTGAATGAGCATTGGGGAAAATGTTGAGTAATATGCGTGTTTTATTGCAAAACCATATGCTTTAACCAGAATTCTTTGCCTATGAATATTAATGTACGGTGAAAACACAGAATACTCAGACACAAACTATTTATATCTGTTCTATTCTGCTACTATATGTCTATAATCCTTGATTTACGACCCTCTCCGGGACCAAAATTCCATTGTAAATCATTGTAATCATAAGTTGATCAATTGGACCCAATTTTATGACAATTTTTATGGTGGTTGTTAAGCAAATCACCATGGATGTTAAGTGAATCCTGCAGTCATTAAGCAAATCCAGGTTTCCCAATGGTCGGGGTTTTTTTTGCTGGAAATCAGCAAAACAGACCAGAAATCATGACCACGTGATTACAGGACATTGCAACTGATTGTAAGTCACTGTTTCCAAGGCTGTTGTAACATTGAACCATTATTAAATGAATGCTAAGGATTGCCTATACTTATGTACACACACTATAAGATATTTTACTTGAAAGTAAAGCACATATGTGTTGCTGGGAGTTGAATGGCTTATACATTTAATAAATGATGATGATGATGATGTCTGAAGGCAGAAGGCCTTCACATTTTCCTGCCCCAAATAGTGTCCCATAGAAATAAGAAGACAGCTGTACATCACAGAAAGCAACATTCCAGATGACAAATATGGAATATCTTAAGAAGGTTGCCATTCTTGGAACTACAACCAAAACTTTTAGAATCAATTGGGCCAGAAAGCAAACAAAAGAAGAATTGCTCTATTAAGTCCACCACAGCCAGTTTCACTCCACGCATGCCAGTTCAATAATAGCCATCAGTTTTCAGTCTTTGAAGATAGACTGCTTTGTCCACTGAGGATCAGAATAACAGAGTTGGAAGGGACCTTGGAGGTCTGCTGGTCCAATCACTTGCTCAAGCAGGAAACTCTATACAATTTCGGACTAATGGTTATCCAATCTCTTCTTTGAAATCTCCACTGTTGGAGCATTTGCAGCTTCCAGATGCAATTCGTTCCACCGATTAATTATTCTAACTGTCAGGAGATGTCTTCTTACTTCTAGGTTGCTTCTCTCCTTGATTAGTTTCCATCCATTGCTTCTTGTTCTGCTCTCTGGTGCTTTGGAGAATAGCTTGATCTCCTTTTCCTGGTGGCAGCCCCCCAAATATTGGAACACTTCTATCATGCCCCCCCCCCCAGTTCTTCTTTTCATTAAACTAGGCATACCCAATTTCTGCAGCTGTTCTTTATATGTTTTAACCTACAGTCCCTTAATCATCTTTATGTTCTTCTTTACACTCTTTCTAGAACCTCAACATCTTTTTTATATCATGGCAACAGAAACAGAATGTAATATTCCAAGTGTGGTTTTACCAAGGCATCATAGCTAATTCTCACTGAAAAACTAACCATTTGTAAATGAAAACATTTGGACTTTTGTAGAAATCAAAGGAATCTGCTAACTCCTTTTCCAACTAATAAATATTATTAAAAGGCATAAGCTTTTGTAAGCTGCAGCTTTCTTGATGAGATGCAAACTCACAAAAGCTTATGCCTTTTTAATAAAGTTTGTCAGAAAGATTGCTGTGAAACTTCTGATTTTTAAACTAACACAACTCTCCTCTTACAAAGACTACAATGGAAGACCACTTTAGCTTCCTAAAGGACTTGAAGTGCAGATGTTCTTCCTTGGGCAATGAGTGCAACTGTCCACCAAGGGGTCTAGGACAACTTGTCACAGCCACCTTGGCACAGCTAACTCGCCATGGCCAACTCAACACAGCCAACTCACCATGGCCAACTCAACACAGCCAACTCAACACAGCCAACTCACCATGGCCAGCTCACCACTGCCAACTTACCATGGTCAACTCACTGCAGCCAACTCACCATGGCCAACTTGCTGTGGGACAAGAGTTACACTTAATCCGGTACGGGATTAAATACCACCAGTACGCGGACGATACCCAGCTGTATCTGTCCACCCCATGCCAACTCAGTGAAGCGGTGGGAGTGATGTGCCAGTGCCTGGAAGCTGTCAGGGTCTGGATGGGAATGAACAAGCTTGCACTCAACCCTGACAAGACCGAGCGGCTATGGATGCTGCCCCCCAAAGATAGTCCAAATATTCCATCTTTAAACCTGGGGGGTGAAATCTTACACCCCTCAGAGAGGGCCCGCAACTTGGGTGTTCTCCTAGATCCGCAGCTGACACTAGAACACCATTTGTTGGCTGTGACCAGGGGAGCTTTTGCCCAGGTTCGCCTGGTGCACCAGTTGCGGC